AAACCAATTTCTGCTGTTTGATTATTTAGAATAGAGCGAAATTTGGCACAAAGACAGCCAATGAAAAGACGAATATGCAGCTATTTTCAGATTGTTTTGTTGTTTCTCGGTACTTCAGATCAACAATCAAACGCTTAAGCTCAGGATAGCCAATCTTTAAACATCCGTAATCCAATCAGTTTTGAACCAATTGAGCTCAAATAATCGCAAACGAATTGTCGCGTTGCGTCGATACAGCTAGCTAGCTAGCTCACCTCAGAACACAAAAAAAGTATCTGGAAGCGGAGTTACGGACAAGCCACCTTGCCGCGCGCCACGACAAAGCACGACCTACACGACGACGAACGACTCAGCTCGTACCATGAACTGCTGGAGAGCAAGCAGAACGGCCGTCTGGCCAGAGGAAAGGCCAAGGAGATCCTTCTCAAGGTTGGCATATCGAGGCAAACGTTGTCCAAGGTGTGGAGGCGTGGTCAGCTGACGAAAGCCCTGTCAGAACTTGTTGATTGACATTGAAAAGACGAGGTCGAGCTAGGCGTCGGCCGTCACGTCCTATCGAGGACATTGGTCCGTCGCTTTCCTTTTTTATTGTAATTGGGCTTTTTTTTAGAGTGTCCCACCGCATCTTCACAGGACGTTAGCGTTGTTGGCTGCTTCCTGTGGGATACCCTCGACAACACTTTGGCGCGTGCTTCAGTCAAAGAAGTTGTGGCGTCGGACGAGTCGACTGAAACCCATAGTCACTGACAAACACAAAGCGGATTGTGTCGCGTTCATACGTTCATTCGTCCGCGTGTCGCCACGAGCCTCACTGCGGTGGGACGATATGCTGGATCATATTCACATCGACGAAAAGTAGTTCTATCTTACGTTAGTCAACCGCCGATACTACCTCTGGCATGGCGAGGCCGTACATGTACGCAAGTGTTCCTCCAAGCGTCGCATCATCAAGGTGACGTTTTTGACCGCGGTGGCGCGTCCACTCTTTGACTTCGCGCAAAAGACAATGTGGGATGGGAAGGTCGGCATGTAGCCTTTTGTGACCGTGGAACCAGCACGACGCAAGAACAAGAACCGAGATCAAGGAGCTTTGGTCACGACACCTGTGTCTGTCACCAAGAAGGTGTACCGTGATTACCTGCTGCAACACGTCATTCCAAGCATCAAGGCGGTTTGGCCCGGTCAACGCGATCAACCAATCTACATCTAGCACGACAATGCTCGACCTCATGTCGAAGTCACCGACCCTGCCGTGCCGTGGTTGCTGCTGGCCGTTCGGGTGGGTGGGACATTCAACTTGTCGCACTACTAGCAATGAGCCCTGACTTCAACGTTCTGGGTCTTGGTTTCTTCAACTCAATTCAAGCCCTATGGCATCGTCAAGTCGTCACTGGAATCATTGATCTTGTTGCTGCCGTACATGGCGCGTACAACGAACTGGATTTGCGAATTCTGGAGAAGACGTTCATGCGTTACAGCGCGTCATGGAGGAGTCACTGAAAATGGGCGGTGACAACTCACACAAATTGCCACATCAGAGCAAGAACAAATTGGCAAGACTGAGACCAACAGCCTCTTTAGTGTGTGATCCTGACGTAGTCACTGTCATCGAAGCAATGAATACTCGGAAGGACTTCGAACGTGGAGTAGATAACCTTTCCTGTGTGCTGGCATCATGTGACATTGAGAGTGTGATCAATACGTCAAATATTGATCTCCTCTGCACCATTGCCCATGATGTGACGATATAATTTGTAGCATATCATGTTGGTTCTCGTCGTAAAATCAACTTTGTGAATATAATTACAATTCGACTCAGAGAGCATACAGAAGATAATATTAAAGTTTGTAAAAACGAATGTCCCCAGATTTGTGGTATGGAGGAAGTACTTAGCTGCTATTTTGAATCGTGCTCTTTGTGTTCCAGTGTCAGTACTGGGCCAGTCTTTCACTTACGTACATTACGAAATGCGAGCTGCGTAGTAATCGCAGAATAGTTATGTGACTCGTCGACCTTGGTTTCATTTTTGCCGCGATGTATCGGGCGTTTTGTTGCTTTTGGATTGCAAAACAAATCATCCGACGGATGTCTCGCTTTTTGAACACAAAGCGGCGCACTGTAGCCTTTTGCCTGTGGGTCAATCTATATTTTTCACAGGTTGCGAATTGCTTTCTCGTTCCACCCGAGCTCGTCGACAATTCAACGGTTTGATTTTCCTAGAGATGAAAGGCTTCAGCCTTCCCAATCTCTTTGGCCGTTTAATGGAGGCCTCCTGGAATTGTTGTGGTGAAATTGGAGAAATGTCATACATTGAGCGTCGTCAACTTGATGTGTACTTTCATTTGAGCCACTCCATCGGCTGAAATGCATAGCCAATAGTCATTTTTGGCGAAGAAAGGTTGTACAACTGTATCCGAAATTGTTGGCCCAGCTATAGTTTTGTTCCAGACTGTACCTGATTCAGTGGAGAATATTTCGGGAGGAAGGTATTTGCGTCGTTTTTCAGCTTCCAGAAATAATACACCTCGTGGCGGAATCAAAATACTATATATATGAATGTCCAAAAACTGCGTTTAACGCAGCAAACACCTACAGTATGTTATAAGGTAAAGCATTGCTATGAACAAGATAAATCAGGAATTTGACGTCTGAAAACGTACTACCTACAAAATCCCCCCTCAATTCCCTTATGCCAATTCGATATTCATAAAACCCTTTCCTTTGTACATTCGACTGTTTAACGGTAAAATCACATACAAATCATGTTTTGTAAATGTATATTATTCATCATGTAATTATCCATGAAATTACTTCCACTGATGCTGTATTGACACAACCATACTTCAGAGAAATGCATGATTGCCACCACGGCTCAGAGCAAGTCGGTGCATGCAACAAAGTCGCGACTTTCGCTGACTTTCATCACATTTAGCTGCAGTACAATTTGCCATCGACTAGTAGTGAACAAGCCGGACCTGCACCACAGTATGATGAGGCATTAGCAAAACATAAAAGTCGTCAAAGAAAACATGAAACGTTAGATTTCGTAGATGAACTTTATGCTCAACGCGAATGTAGCGAACGAAATCTTCTAAAGACTTGAGACGAGTCTAAATCGATCTGACAACACACGGCGAAGTTACGGTACTTGCCATTATGCTCGCCATGGCCCAAGAGGTTGATATTATCTTCCGATTTTGCGAGCGCCCGTAGGTGCTGGTATATCCAAGAGCAATGGAAAGATATGCCACGATTCCACGGTGCGCCACACTCATGTCCACATTGCGACGACATGGATGCCTCAATCTTGAGTTCATACAGCATGCGCTTCTCCTCACTGAAGAATCCCATGAGCCCTTCAGTCAGCAAGAAATTTACGTCTTTGGCATAGAGCGCATACGGGTAATATTTGATTGTGCTGACTTTAGCTCGCTTTTCCTACATGAACGGCATGTCTTGACAATTCTCCACAGTGAATTGGCATGAAGAAATCGACCAATCGCAAATAATCTTCTGGTGTGTGGTGCGCGGAAGACATTTCATAGTTTGATTCTCCCAGTTATCGAAGAGCTTCATGACGATGAGCGTCATGAACAAAACTTCCTTCGGAGTCCTCTTGGACTATGTTCGGGGTCCGTCATTCCAGCGGGACTGGAAAGGTAGCTCGACGATAGCCACTGATCAGGAAGACCCAGTCGCATTTGGCTTGGTATTCCAAGCTCTCGAGGATTATGGCGACGTTGACAAACATGGTGCATAAGAAGGGTTTTGAAACTGTCTTTTCCTTTCCTATATCGCTTCCGGTCACCGGGACGGGAATTTAAAGGAATAACCGAAAATGGAGTTTTGAAAGTTCTTTTCCTATTCCGTTGAAACACAGTCAAATCCAGTCGAACACAAGCCACTCCTCATCTCCATCCTCACGACAATGCTCTCGGTTGATGAAATCACTTCCTTGCTGCCATTTGCGCGCAACAAATCATCGCGAGAGTTTCTCATGCGCATGTACCTCATGCAATACATCGAGCCCCCGGTCTAACGTTAATTTTTGTCTCGACGCGCACCCGTACGCAAATGCACTACTTGACTTTCGCTTTGACGTTGCGGGCATAATGAAGATGAGGTACTTGCTCGGAATTCCAGCCACCATCATGACGCCCGCTGGATCACGCATTTGCCGAGACGAGGCCATGCGCATTTTGTTGAGTCGGCTGACGTTTCCATGCCGCTACCACGACATGGCTTTGATGCTTGGTCGCTCTCGGGCGCAAATGTTTGATGTGTTTCTCTACTTGGTTCACGCACGACATATACGATCGGTGGGGCCCACTTGCGTTCTTGAACCGTGGACAACTTCGCTCTCGCATGAGTCGCTACTGCGCTGCAATCGCAAGGAAAGGATCACCGTTAGACTGTGACTTTGGCTTTATTGATGGGACCAAGGTTCAGTCGACACGTATTCCTACAACGGGAGATGGTCGAAACCTGCAAAAATCATTTACAGTGGACACAAGCGATTTCATTGCTTGAAATTTCAAGCTGTGTTGAGTCCTGATGGCATCTGCGTGCACTTCTGGGGGCCCTGTGAGGGGCGACGTCATGATTCTGCTATGTGTGCTATGAGTGGCTTGTTGCCTGCACTTGATCAACACCCAGACATTTTAGTATTGAAATTCATATATGGTGACCCTGCGTATGGTGTTTCAAAATTTGTCATGAGTGGCTACCGGGGAATTAACTTGTCCGAAGAAAAACTAGTCTTCAACAAATCTATGAGCAGAGTGCGTCAATCGGTGGAATGGAACTTCAAAGTCATGAAAACACTATGGCCTCACATTCAATACAAAAATTTGGCCAAGCTGATGCTATCACCAGTTGCGAATATCGTTTGTGTGGCTATGTTTTTGACGAATTGTCATTGCTGTCATTTCGGGGGAAATCGAATCAGCCATTATTTCGATGAAGCCCCTCCAAGACTTGAGGAATATCTCGATACAGTAGAAGTTGAGGACATATAACCAAGAATCAATTAAAGTTTATTCACCAATGTACAGTAGTCACAAGAGCAGTCATTGAAGATTGCAACATTTGGATTTGTTGTAGTT